GTTTTGGGTGGATGGGTAATAGAGACAGGGCGTCCTCCAGGAGTACACATGCTTACACATGAACATGAAGATGCCCTATCCAAAGTTACTCTCTGTTGCCTAACAGCCTGAATTTAAGAATTAAGAAATTAAGCATAATGCGCTGTATGCTTCTATGTGTGGGTGTCCGGGTAGGTGCATTGAATTATGGGATGGCCTGATCAATTAGCTGCTAGCAACCTAATAAAAGCTGGATGGGCTCGTCTGTGACCTCTGCTGCACGACTGCTTTGCATTTTTTTCGGAGTGCCGAGTGTGGCTGATGTCATATATATTTTTGTATACAGCCATGTCCTTACCGTATATGACTTTGGAAAGGGTGGGGAGAATTTGTGTAGGCGCTGTAACTCCGTTGTGAGGTCAGAGCATTGCATGCGGCCTTTGATTTTGACAAGGATACCTCCGCAAGTTCCCTGCTTGTTTTCCCCCAGCGTCTCATGTCTCGTGATTTGCATAGGGTGCAGAGAATCAAGGGTCTGGATTGGTTGGAGCTCGCCAGGCTAAAACAAAGGCTATCAGTCCCTGTAACCGAATCTGCACGGCTCTGCACAGAAGCCAGCCTGCTTTTTTGTATTTGAACATGCAGGGAAAACACTCTTGAAAATGATTAATGAAGTCTCCACTGTGGATGAAACACAGCAAGCCAGTCTGGAGGGCGTCGAGAGGGAGGGTTCAGACATTCTCTTGCTATTACCATTAGGTCTGTTCCAGCTGATGTCAAATAGCCAGTGTCGTATAGATACTAGCAACTAGCAAATGTGTTCTGCATTTTTATGAAAGGATGATTGCAAGGTGCCACAGAGAGGCAGTGGTTTTTGGGGGAGAGATGATTTATTTCTTATCAGGAAAAGAAATGGATCTGTCAGATGTTCCATCCAGACCCATGAAATGCTTTGTAAAACGTAATCAACAGAGGTCACCAAGTTTCGGATGGTCAGATTGCTCCATCTTCACCGAGACAGGACAGGACGTGACTGTACAATTTGCCTGAAATGGAAAGAAATGATTGTGTACGTTAAGCAATTCCCCTTTGCCCAGACGAATATGATCTGTCATCGAATATGAATTGTAATCGCTTAACAACTTAACTGTGCTATGTTTAACAGAGAAAACTGATCAGCTGTTCAGTGTTCCTGCCCTTGATCTGACTGTGTCAACAGCTGATCAGTGTTAGTGATCTATTCAGAAGAGTCACTGCTAATTACATCTTATACCTAAATTAAACAGCCACTGTATGAGCCACTGTATGTATCTACGCCGCAAAAACAAAAGAATATTCACAATAAAAACATTTTTTGCTATTGGGTAATTGTCCAGTTCAACGAATGTCTGATCCCAACTGTAAAAGTTAATGTAATTCAGCTTGAGGCCAAAATTAAAATTCCCCCCTGTCTCTGAGTGTCCTGGTCACTGTAACACGTGTTTGTAAGCAGACAGATGCCCTTTAGTCTACTGAGATCAGATTGAATCAGTACTTGTTCAGGGGTCACAAGGGGAAGCTACGTAGACGTGCATTTCAAGCTCAGAACGGGGAGGGGGGGGTGCTCATCTTTACACAAAGGGTGGTGGGGGCATGGAACAAGCTACCCAGATGGTAGGCTGGCTTCTTTGAACAAACTGCTGGATGAGATTTTTGGATCAAGCAACTGCGAAACAGGCTAGGTGGTCTTGAGTGAGTTCCCCTGGGTTGTAAACGTTTATGTGGTGCTGAAGCAGTTAGTACTCTTACTCCCAATTTCAAGAAAACCCTGCCGAACGGCCTATTCTGAACCCAGGGAAACCTCAAAACCTCTGCTTTCTTTAAAGAAGCAGGGGCACGACAGACCTGGCTCTCAGTTTATCTCGTTCCAGTTCCTGCTTCTCGACCTCGAGGTACATTGGGGGTTTCAGATTGCTGCTGCCCCACAGCTGCCTCCCGGTCAGAGAGGTTTGGCCCCCGGAGAGGGGGCGCTCAGAGCAGGCGGGGGTGGGCACGAGGGCGTGCGTGGGGGGGGCGTGCCTGGTGGCGCCGCGCGGGCAGCTGGCTCTCTGCCGCCGCAGGGGAGTTCCTGATCGGGGGGGGAGGTTGGCGTGTGGTACCCCCAGCCGCCACAGGTCTGCGAGCAGCACAAGGCCCGCGTGGAAAACTGCGCCAAACCGCAGCCGGCTATTTAAAGACGCGTGCCGAACGAGAGCAGGGCCCCACGCTGGCGCATTGGACATTGCAAAAGTGTGAGACTCTCACCCCCCGCCCTGATTTTTACTTTGTATTTTTGGGAGCGCTGAGACGTGCAGAGCCAATCAGGCCAGATGGCTTTGTTTTGCCTCTTAAAAAGGTGACTCTTGTCCCTGTTTCTGTCTGTTCCTGGGTATGTTGGTACGTTCCTGTTTTTTGGTCGGATGAGATCTTCGTGGCTTTTACCCGTCCGCAGTTCTCTCCCAGCACGGCCAGAAGCGACGCTCAGTTCCTGTTTTATTTTCACCACTTTTAACCTCCACAGCACTGCCTCTCAGTAGAGAGCGTGTTGTCCAGCAGACACGGGCTGCCGTGTGGATTCCGAAAGTCTCCTGGATTCTTTGCCGGCTTGTTTCGCTCGACGAGATCAGGCGCTGCAGGGGACCCTGTGCAGATGAAAAGCCCCGGTCTGTTTCGCTAACCGGACGACCTGCCGTAACTTCAGGGTCCGTGAGGTGTGGCAGATCTGTTAAGAGAGCGTCAAGTAAATTGGAGATCTGAGCAGAAACCCGCAGTGTGTTGCAGAAGACAAGGAAACGAGTCGCATAACAGCTATCGCCTGTAAAATCTTTCTCTTTCACAAAGCATCAGAATAACTCAGAACCCTAACGGATTTTTAGTTTGTAATGGATCTGCTACTAGTACCAGTAATCTTGAACCCTTTAAGTCATCGGTTTCTAAAGGCCAGGACCAATTTAACTATAAACAATTAATGAAACAGGTTGTGTGCTGGAGTAAGTCATTTAGAGATCATTTGGAACAGAAATCAGAACATCCTTAAGCCCTCAAGTACCACTGCTTCCTTCATTGAAATATTTCTTGCTCAGTAGACCAGTTCCTTAAACTGGTCTTTCTGGTTTTCAAATAACAGAAGATTTAGGGCAACCTGTAAGACTATGGGTCCCATTAGAAATGACCCCTCGGCCTAACAGAGGCTTCGTCACCTAATTGACGATCAGCAGCTTCAGTTGCTGTTTGGTTGTGCTGCTCTCTAAAAGGCAGTCGTTTCCTGGTGCTTTCGGTCCAGAGAAGAGTGACCAGCTTAAGGGCTTAAGGGATTGTCCAGCACTGACAGTGAAGGAACAGAGTCTCTTCAGTCTTGAACAGAGAAGACTAGAAACTGATACGTTTACGAGGTCATTGACAGTATCCCAGGAAAGGGAGACAGACTCAGGGTGTGAAGTGCTTTGTGTAGCCAGAGCCTGGCCAGCTGCTGTGTTCCCTGTGGTGTCCGAACTGGTCTCAGGGAGAGCAGCTGCAGGCCTGGCTCCAGCTCTGGCGTGGGAAGCCTTTCCAGGAAACCCTCTGCACTCCTGCAGAAGGCCAAGGCAGCTGTCCTGCGGCTTTCTGCTCTACCCACGGGCCCTGACAGGAAGTGGCAGTGTCTGTGACAGGAGGGGGCGGGAGGGGCTCTGAACACTGGGGCAGCACTGGAGCAGGAGGGGCTCTGAACACTGGGGCAGCACTGGGGCAGGAGGGGCTCTGAACACTGGGGCAGCACTGGAGCAGGAGGGGCTCTGAACCCTGGGGCAGCACTGGGGCAGGAGGGGCTCTGAACATTGGGGCAGCACTGGGGCAGGAGGGGCTCTGAACACTGAGGCAGCACTGGGGCAGGAGGGGCTCTGAACACTGGGGCAGCACTGGGGCAGGAGGGGCTCTGAGACTGGGGCAGGAGGGGCCCTGAGACTGGACTTTTCACCAAGG